GTGGCAATAAACATAAGCATAAACATCACTACTGTCACCTGCTTTACAAAAGGTCCATTTGTGACATCACCAAAAAGTTAAACTAAAGGGAAGTAAACCTCTTGGTTTGTAAGGTTCTAAAATAGATTAATTGATTTTGTTAATTTGACTTTCAAAACTAGTTTTATTTGATGCTTAATGTGTGTTGGAATTTGCCAACCATGGTCCTTCTATTATGCTCTGAGTTTCAAACAGCTCTATGATACGTTGGTTTTGCTCTAAGAGCATGTTGAATCTTTCCTAACGGAATAAAGGACACTAATCCACTTTCATGTATGAGTTCTCATTTTCATGTAATATCAAAAACAATAAGTGTAAACAAGGAATCGAATACATTCATTCTTTTGGTGGATTGATAGTTTTGGACACCAATTATACATGACAGGATTAGAAGAAAAATCTACAATAATAGTTGAAAAATAGATTGAGATTAATCCCTTAAAAATTAAGAGTTAAAATATTTATGAACTATTGTGTCACAAATAAATATAGAGTTAAATTGTGGTGAGAATACTAACCAATAATGAAAAGACTAGTTGAGACGAGCTCTTCAAGTCTAAGTCACGATGATAGACGTTGAAAGGGATGAACTCGATAAATCCAAAACCCTGACATAAAAAAAAAGAGTTGTGCCACAGGAAGTCAAAATATGTTTGGTAAAAATAGATAGGGATAACTGTCAAATAAGTCCTCGTACTATACTGAAAAAGTCAATTGGGTCCCTCTACTATAAAATCGCTCAATTGAGTCCTTGAACTATAAAAAAACAACCAATCTAGCTTTGGTGACAACTCCGGTACCTTTCTAAAAACAGAGGTACCGTATCTAGCATTCATTTGATTGGACCACATCACTTTATCAATTTTAATTTAGATTTAAATAATTCAACTGCGACCTTTTCATTGGACAAAGGTACGGTACCTTATGGGTACCATAGAAACTACCTCTAGCTTTTTAACCTGTTGGCGACAAACTATGCCGGTAGCTGCTGACATGGCCAGCCAGGTGGCATTAATCACGTGACCAGCTGGTAACTTTTTTGGCATCGGCTCCTCCTCTTCTTCTTCAGGATGCTCCAATCCTTTTTTTCTCCATTGACATCTTTGATTCTCTTAAGCAAGGACCAAGCATTCACAATTAATGATATTTTCAAAAACAGAACAGTAATGTTTTGCATAATTTTTAGAGATAAGAGAAGAAAGTATAGCCCTAAATACAAGTCTTCGGCAAAAAAGACCAGGGAGCTCTCCGTCAACAATGTCCCTCCCTATACTTCTCCGTCAACATTAATCGGCTCCAGTGCTTGCCTCTGCTGGCTGCTCCACCATCTTCTGACGTTTCCGACGCACCAAGTTCGTCTCTAGTAGATGGGCCAGTTCTGTCTCCCCTCTCGTCCAACCTCATCTCCCGGCGGCGCTCTGGCGGTGAGCCCATTTGGAGTTGAGGGCTTTCTTTTCGCGATGAGGAAATTTTCCTCCGTTTTTGGGGTTGGTTGTCGAGAGCTTGTAATAAATCTTCGAGCTTAAAAAGATGTCAGTGCCTCTGATTAGCTCAACGCTCCAAGATGTTTTCTTAGCGGCCATAGCTCCGACTCCTCCGAGTTGTTTCAGTGCTTTGGGGGAAGATTGTGATGGCGATGAACAGTTTTCCAAGATACGAAGTACGATAGTATTTTTTAAGGCTAGGGATCGGAGGAGATTAAAAAAGGAGTGACATGGATAACCACAGGAGCAAAGTAACCGGAAACCGTTTGGTAACCTCTTAAAAAGTCATTTTGAACGGGTTTTCAATGTTTGGGAATGTGATTGAGTGATTAAATTGTACAAGGATCTAATTGACTTTTCTATTATAATAGGAGGACTAATTTGACAGTTTTCCCAAATAGATATGATGAAGAATACCAGATGCCTTAACTCGTTCTTCAAGTAATGCTAAAAAACTTGTTCTTAAGTGGAGTAGCAGATCTAACAGAGTTACGTAAATAACCTCCTCATGAGCGGGAAAGCTAATGAGAGACTTAATTCACTTAATTAGTATATATACATCGATATATACTATCTTAATCTAAAAAACTTATAAGCACCAATGATGGTTAGGCATTTTAGGAATGCTAAAAATGTTAGTGTAATTATAAAGCAAGATACACTTGTACAATTTGTGTGATTCATTGTACGGTTCATCATTGCATATATTTATCCTCCTCACGTACATCCGCTAAAGTTAACCCTTAAGTTTCCTAATTCCAACATGCATGAGTATTAAATGACCCTCATGCATAAATGGTGTCCTTATGCATTTGAAGAATGGACACACACATGTTTGTATATAATGCATATTAATATTTCATAGCATCTCTATGTACACACCGTCACTTTCGGTTGACCAAGTATAGCTTGCCCTGATCTTTTTTTTTTTTTAACTTAGTTAAACAATACATTCTTAAAACATTAGGTTTTTTTTTAAACCCTTAAAACATTAGTTTAGCACATGAATTGTGATTTGTTTCAAATTTCCAATGGAGCAGTGGACCTTTGTCATCCTTAATTTGGCAAGTTAGGGTTTCACTACTCAAATGATTTGCACTCCACTTTGTGTTAATTATATTTCTTTTAATAATGAATCTTTAACTTCTGAGTGAAGCACATATTAAATGTTAAACTTAATGATAAAATATGCTAGATCAAACGATCGTGAGATTAATGATTAGTAAAATCAAAATGAGAAATATAATCCATATTATTTGTCCTGGACATATTATGATTAAGACATTTTTATTTAAATAATGAAGATATGCAGTCAAACACCCAAGCAGAAGGCAAACACATTTGAAAATGGCTCTCGATACATATTTAAGATAGCAGGTATTTGAGCTGTTGTGATTGTTAATATTTATCCCTTTAGTTTATATAGGAAGTTGGTAATACTTCCTTTTAATTTGTAACACTCAGAATTTGTTTCTATACTATTGTGCTACGATAAGTCCAAAACTTAAGATGATGTTCAAAGCTTATTTCTCAGAAATCTAAATAAAAAACTATGAGATGTTTAAATGACATTTTACTAATTCTCATTGAGAAATCAACTCACCATTTTGTTCAACTTAATATGGTTAAACATTTATGAGCTTTTTGAGCATACAAGAATAATGTGTTCCATGAACAAGGACGAGGACTTGGAAAGTACTGAAGAAGTGTCAGGAGAACAAAAGAGAAGAAGAATGTGGGAAGATCATGAGGGGTCAGGCAAGGACTCTATGGATGTTGTTAAGCAAAAAAAACGGGGAGGAGGCGGGCTCAGATATCTAAGCCCGTCAAAGGTGCAGATGCAAGGAGCAGGTCCGGGATGGTGCCTTGGCTTAGTGCTTATTTTGTCGTTATGTTTGCTTTTTTGGGATTGGGTACTCCGTTTTTTTTTTTCAGTTTGTTATTTTTCTGCATTGTAAGACTTTGAGCTTGGATTTGGGTGGTAGGTGGTTTGCATCTACCGTCTTTGGCTTATTTGCGCTCATAAATGGATCAACGATCCCCGAGTTATATTGCTTCTTTTGAGGTGATTAACTCTGAGTCTGGTTCGAGGGTCAGCAGTTGCCTGCGGTCTCTTTATCTTTATAGCCCTTATCTGTATGTTGTGATATCAATTTAAGGCACCTTTCATCAAAAAAAGCAATTTATGTACAACTACTTTAGAATGTTTGTATAATAGAGATTTGTATTGCTTTTGTAGATATTCTGCTATTTCAATTCCAGTTCAAGCAAACTTTTAGATACCCACGAGGATAACAATTTTTTGAGAGATGGATGGATATAAGGTGCAGAACCATATAACATTCAGTGCAGTTGTTAATTTGTTCTGATTATATGTTCTTTGGATAGTTTACTCTCATCCCAACTAAATATTAAAAAAAATCTATTTTACATAAATAATACTCCGTATTGAACATTTATCCAATTGCGCGTCGCGCATGTAAGAACTACTGAATAGTATAGATATATAGATATGTAGATATAGATAAAGTTTACTTTCCCACGATAACTATTATTTGAATTTAACCATTGATATTGTTACTACGTTTATTAAGAGGCCGTTTGACAACACTTTTTTTCAGTTTATCAGACTTATCAGTCAACTTTTTCACCAAACATATAACTTTTGCTTTCGCACGCTGAATTGTGTAATAAGCAGAAAAAGTATGGTTGTAGATACTTTTCTAGCTGTATTGGCTGAAGTTAGTGTAGATGACCATTTTAACTATTTTTACATATAATTTTTTCTTTATTTTATTAATAAAACATACAGAGTATTTTAAATATAATTTTGTTTTAAATCAGCCAATGCAGCTACTTAAGTCAGAACTTCATAAATTTTAGCAGGATCAACCAAATAAGCCGATTTTCGTGCTACCAAACGGGCTCTAAGATTAAGAATCAGCCCAATTTAGGGAGTGTTTGCAACTGCTTAAAAAAAAGCACTTCTCAGCTTTTGGCTTTAAAAAGCACTTATTTACCAAACACTACCAATTTTTACTTTTTCTCGGCTTGCGTGTGAAAAGTGCTTTTCCCTTTTCTATTACACAAAAAGCACTTATTTTACCAAACACTACCAACTTTTACTTTTCAAAATCACTTTTTTCTCAAACACTATCAACTTTTACTACCAATCACTTTTTCATTACTTCTCCAAAAGTGCTTTTTTTTAAGCAGAAGCAGTTGCAAACACTCCCTTAATTTTAGTTCGGCTCAACTAAAAAGAAACCGCCAGTCCACACCTGGAATATCTACCCTGACCCTACGTCGCGTATATATACACGGATTGGCTTCTTCGATCGGCTTCCCTGCTATACGAACTTCGTCTTCTATATCCTCATTATTTCCTCTCATTCGTTCTCTTATTCTCAGCTCCTATGATGTTAACTATAAATGGTGAAAAAGACGAGCATGGCAGGAGAAAGAGAAAGCACGATTTGGGTGAGAGCAGCGGAGGAATTTACATCCCTCCTTTTAAGTTGGCCAGGATGATGGAGGATGCGGAGGACAAAAGCTCGGCGGAATACCAAAGGATGACGTGGGATGATCTTAAGAAGAGTATAAATGGGCTGGTTAATAAAGTGAATGCAACAAATATTAAGAACATAATTCCAGAACTGTTCGCTGAGAATTTGATTCGTGGAAGGGGCCTGTTTGTCCGCGCTTGTATCAAGTCCCAAATGGCTTCTCCTGGTTTCACTGATGTCTTTGCAGCATTGGCTGCTGTTGTTAACACCAAGTTTCCAGAGGTGGGGGATCTTCTTTTGAGGAGGATTGTTTTGCAGCTACAAAGAGCCTACATACGCAATGATAAGGTCCGTACTTCTTATCCTCCTTAAAATAATGTGTAATTATTTATTGCTAAAGTAGTGGAGAGTTGGAACATTGATGCTGTTTTATTCTACTTAGGGTACGGTCTAGTTAGTTTTCAGATGCTTCTATTCATGATTTGATTTTTAACGTCCATGGTGTGCTTTCCTTGCACTCTTGCAGCCCAAATTGTTGGCAGCTGTGAAATTCATTGCTCATCTTGTAAACCATCAAGTAGTTCATGAGCTGGTTGCCCTTGAACTTCTTGCTGTTTTGCTTGAAAATCCCTCAGACGACAGTGTTGAAGTTGCAGTTGGTTTTGTTACTGAGTGTGGATCTATTCTCCAAGACTTGACTCCACGTGGATTGGACGGTAAGTCAACTTTTAAAGTGTATAATTTCAATAACCTTCCCAATTGGTTTGAAATTTGTCCATTTTACATACATCTGTTTCGCTTTCAACACTCTAGGATTCCATAGACTCAATCAGATAGTGAACACTATCAGTTCTTTATAAAGATTATTGTGCACTTCTTTCTTTGCTTGGCATTGAAAGTAGTGAAGCTTTATTTGTTTTATAGTTTGTTTCTATTTTAGAGCTTTGGGTATATTCAGAGAGGCCTCTGGACACAGAAATTTTCTTATGAGCTTTGTGACCCTGTGAAAAGCTTCTCTTTAGATCATACTAATAAGTAATAATAGTGATAAGTCTCATGACTTTTAAAGGGTTATATTGTAGAGTGCCCAAACTTTTCAAAAACGAAATGTGTCAATGCAAAATGATGTGTTCCTTTCTCACCGAAAGAGAAACAATTGCATCACCAAATTTTATGATGCACAATAGAATGTATGTGGCTGACTACTGGCTGAGGGTCCAGTTTATATGACTATAATAGATGCTGTTTACACTTGCATAAACTTACTTGAAGATATAGTTGAAGATATTGTTGAACAATTGTAGGCCACAACCAATGAACATAATGAAGAAGAATCAACTCATCAATTATAGATGGCAATTGTCTATTGTCCTCCTAAGATGAAAGACTATTTGCAGCGCATACTCTGCGTAGCCTGTTTTCCATCTACTGTAATTTATAGCCATTCCTATTTTAATATTTTGTTTTTACGTTTTAGATTGGTTTCATACTGAAGGGAGGACCTCTGCTTCCTTTATTGCTATTTGTGAAAAAGTGTACTAAATTTTTTCTCAAATGAGTTTTGCTTATTGGATTCTGTAGGTATTGTGTCCTGCATGCAAAACCATAGATATGTATATTTTTGGGGCATTTAAATGACATGAATTTTGGGATATAAATAGGCATTTTTGAGCGGTTCCGTGGGATACTTCATGAAGGAGAGATCGATAAAAGAGTTCAGTTCTTGATTGAAGGCCTCTTCGCAGTACGTAAATCAAAGTTTCAGGTAAACCACCATTCTTAATGTCAAGATATGAATGCACACCATCTCAGTTTTGATATTGACAATTTCAATTTTGCGTATTGATTTGTCATGTCAAGTAACTTTGACACCCCGCCCCAAACTCTTTTGTAACTAAGGCTTGGATGTTGTTGTTGTTGTTGAAGTAACTTTGACACCCCATAAAAGAAACAACTATCTACAAAGATAGTTTTTTATTTTAATTTTGTAAGAGTTATGACTTATGCCATATAGTTAATGACTGTCAGATTGCATCAAACCTTGAAATTGTAAAAGAATAAAAGGTAATTGGTGGATGCAGCATTGGATTTTAGGTCATTGTATTATAATCCTACCAGAGTTTTGAATTGCTATTTTTACACAGGGTTATCCGGCAGTTCGCCCAGAGCTCGATTTAGTAGAGCAGGAGGATCAGTTGACCCATGAAATATCTCTTCAGGATACTATAAAAGATGAAGATGCACTGAATATTTTCAAGCTAGATCCCAATTACTTAGAAAACGAAAAGAAGTATGAAGAATTGAAAAAGGCAATACTAGGTGATGAATCTGAGGAAGAAGGGGATTTTGATGCTGAGTCTGTGGATGAAGATGAAGAGGATGAAGTCAAAGATGATGAAGAACAAATGAAAATAACTGATGAGACTGAAACAAACTTAGTCAACCTTCGAAGAACCATCTATTTAACAATAATGTCGAGTAAGGACTTTGAGGAAGCAGGTCATAAACTGTTGAAGATTAAACTTGAGCCTGGTCAAGAGGTTAGTGTCATTAATTCTTCATTTATGTATCTGTTTTGTTTTCATTGTTGATTGTGTAGAGTATGCTATTCACTGATGGGGTTGACACTCCTAACTCTCACAATTATTATTAAAAAAACTTCAAAAGGGTGGGGGTGCTGTGGGAGAATGGAAATGGTTTCCACCATCTTAAAGTTAATGGCTAAGATGTGTTTTATTTCCATGATTGTCCTCTATTTTCCAAGCTTAATTTTGAATGTGACTGGTATTTTTCTAAAATTATACGAAATTAAACAGCGTAAAGGGTGTTACCATGAAACAACTTGAGTCAAGTATGTAACACACATTCATGTAGGGAGAAAGGAGTTCAACATAGAAACTAGTTAAAACCGCAATTTGTTATTTGGTGACTATCCAGTACAGTTCTGAGTGGTATACTGGTAGAGTGGTATTTCACTTTGATTATCATGCTCGTCAATTCCAATATACTATATGCAGTTCGTTTTACAGTAAATTATAATGTTTCATAGAAGATTCATTGAAAAGTTAAAAGTTAATGTTAACAATCACTTTCCTTTTGGCAGGGTGTGATGTATCTTAGGTGGTTACCAGTAAATGTTGAAATTCAGAATTGGTTAAGTGAATTGCTATTCAATGCAGAATAGGATTTTCTGTGTCACCATGATAATCACTAATATTTCTTTGGGTATGTTTGAATAACAGAATATGCCAGGTGAAGGAGAAAAAAATACTTGGTTTCTTATGATTGTGATGACTTATATAAATGCAAAAGAAATTGGAAATTTTGTAATTTGTAAAAGATATTTCATATACTAAATTATTTCTAATGGTCTGTAACGCTATATAATGGTGGGTATTGAATTGGTAAAGTGCGTGTAAAGTAAGAATGAGTTGCAACCACACAAATATTACCAAATATGGTTTAGGACAAACTAAGTTGGATGGATGAAAAAAATGAGACAAAAATAAGGGGACGGGGGGAGTATATACAATGAGTTTGAAGAAATATCCTGAATAAGTTTATTGAGTTAAGAGCCTACCTTCCTTTTCCTGAATTTGATTTGTTTGTCATTTTCTTCTTGCATATTCTCTGCCATTAGTATTTTCCTGGATCGAAAGAGACCTTAGTGACCCTGAATGCTACTTAGAGTTCTGACATTTTACTGATGATGTGATATTTAGTATTCAGTTGGGTACACAAGTAACTCTCTGATGGTATGTTTTCGGTGTATGCAGATGGAATTATGCATAATGCTTCTAGAGTGTTGCAGCCAGGAGAGAACCTATGATCGTTACTATGGGCTTTTGGGTCAACGTTTTTGTATGATCAACAAGATTCACCAGGAGAACTTTGAAAAGTGCTTTGTGCAACAGTACTCAATGATTCATCGATTGGAAACCAATAAACTGGAAAATGTTGCCAAGTTCTTTGCCCACTTGCTTGGAACTGATGCATTGCCTTGGCATGTTCTAGCTTACATTAGACTCACAGAAGAAGATACCACCTCCTCTTCCCGCATCTTCGTCAAATATCTATTTCAAGAATTATCTGAACATCTTGGGATCCGGCTTTTATATGAACGCCTCAATGACCCAACAATGCAAGAGTCATTTGACTCTATTTTCCCAAAGGACAACCCGAAGAACACAAGGTTTGCAATTAAGTTTTTCACATCCATCGGCCTGGGTGGGATCACTGAGAACCTCCAAGAACATCTGAAGATCATCATGCAGCAGCAACAGAAGCCCACTGCCCCTGCTTCTTCCAATTCATCAGTCTCGTCATCCAGCAGCAGCAGCTCTGAGGAAGAGGATACCTCACGAAGAAGGAGGAGGCGTTGATCTGCCCAAATGTTTGACTCTGTATATCATATTTTTTGACTCTGTTCACTTTATAACATTTTTTTTAAAAACAAACAGGCAACACAAGTACAGAAATATTGCTAATGCCAGTAGGTAATGTTTAAGGCTTTAAGCCTGAGTATGAGTATGTCTAGGAGAGTGGTTCGCTTTCTTGTCCAAAATGTTGCAGTCTTGCAGAAAATGCTTGCGTAGGTTTGTTCAAGTACATAAATATTGCTAATGCCAGTAGGGTTGCAAATAAAACTCTAACATGCCTTTTGTGTTGTTATAAACTAAAGGCCTTTTTCATGCCCCCTTTAAGTAGGAAACAAACTGGTAATAAATGTCTATTTTAAGTGGGTAAAATTGATTATTCTGGATCTGCTTGGCTACTCAAACCAGATCAGATTTCGGATCATTAAATGCTATGAGGTTCGTTACATGGCAAAAACTGTTCGGTTTGTGTCTGGACTTCTTTATGAGCTATATAGCATATTAGGATTATTAGCTGTCAATGATGGTGAGAAGTTACATTTTCAATTTAAATGCCTATTTACGTGTCTTTGAAACTAAGCAATATTACTAAAACATTCACTTTGCCCACATTAGTGGTGGACTCGGGCCGGTTCGGGCCCGGGCCGGGCCTAGGCCCGACCGGGCCGCCGGTTAGGAAATGTTGGGCCCGGGACTAGCCCGGGTAGCCACCGGGTCTGGTCTGGGTCCGGGCCTCGGGCCTTTTACATTTTTTTCCCTTTTTCTAATTACCCCCCCCCCCCCCCTAACCCCCAACCCCCAAACCACCCCAAATGGCCCAAAATACCCAGCCCAACCCGGGGATTTTAAAAAAAGTTGAAAAAAAAAATAAGCCCAGAACCGGGCCCGGACTGGCCAGGTCGGTTCATGTTTTGGGTGACCCGAGCCCGGACCGGAAACCCCTCGGGTTGGGCCTACCTGGACCGGTCACTAGCCGGGCCACCGGGTCGGGCCGGGCCGGGCAGAACAGTGCCGTTCCTGGGCCTGTTCCGGGTCGGGCCACCCGGCCCGAGTCCACCACTAGCCAACATTCTTCCTCACATCGATGCCTGTTATCCATTCTTGCTTACTTAGTCCCTCCCTGTTACCAAACCAAAACCATCTACTAAATGGACACGTGTTGTGTTAATTGAGCTTGTAACATCCTTCCTCACCAATGCACCTCCCAGAATTTAGGCCTTGAGCAATTTAAAAATCATGTATTTTAGAAATGTAAACAAATAAATCCAATAAGTATTCCAACTTCCAAGCATAATATAATATATCATGCATGTAATCCCCATTCTTTATGGAAGGTCGTTAGAAGCCATGAAGTTTAACTATACACTTAAGAATAGAATAATGTCCAACTCTCGATACTTGGAAGGAAGAAGAGCATATTGCTTCTCATATTTTGATCTTTTGTAGTCTCTATAAAAATTAAATCAGATGTTAGTGCTAGAATTTTTTTTTGTTCTATTAGCTTTATTCATATGTAAATTAAATTACATATTACACTATGACAGTGTTCGTTTATGTCGCTCATGGAAGGAGGATTCGAGGAATTTGTCCTATCAATTAATATTTTTACTTAAATACTGTGTTTATATTCCTACATACTATTCGACAAAAAACCTCAAACATCGTTCATTAAATCATGCTATATCTGCTACTTATGTCTGCAAAAGAATTTGATACAGAGGAATTGAATGGCATTATATCTAGTAAAGTGTTCATTATTCTATCCTTGTATGCACTACATGGGAATGGTTCAATATTTGCGATTTTGTTTTTGAGAAACAGGGCAAATAAGCTCACGTATAAAGGTCAAATAAGCTCTTATATAGGAGGCTCTGTCCGGCCATCGCCATTTGGGGGGGTTCCCGGTGGAATTTTTTGATGAAATTTTTTGAGCATCTTATTCATTAAGTCTAGTTTACGCATACCAAATTTCAACTAAATCTTCAATCGGGAAGACATTCAAATGAATTCTTGAAGATAACCAAGAAAAGTTGGAATTCATTTGATTTAGACACTGGCAAATATTTTTCTTCTCTAGATGTGGTCTTCTATGAGACCATATTTCCATTTGCAAATGTTACTGCGCATGACTTAGATCAACGACAGTATTTAAATGGGGCTCCTCAATGGAACCGCATGACCATCAGGATTCTTCACACCAAATAGATAGTGGGGCAGTAGGTGCATCAGCTGACTCCAACACTCTTGGCTCTCACAATGATTATGCGTCTGAGGTGGATACCGAAATGAGCACTGAGGTTCTGGGACAGGGACATAGGCAGAAAATTAGTACTCGTCTTCATGACTGTCACCGGTGGCGGACCCAGAAAAATTTAGTCACGGGTCCCTATCATAATATAATTCTAATTAATATACAATTAATAAAAAATAAAGTAAAATATTAAAGAAGCATAATGTTTAATAGTTAAAGTACATCATCAAAACATGAAGATAGTACAGAATGTAACGCACAAAGTTACATATAAAATTCATTTTACAATTACATATAAATTCATTCTACAACTGAAAAAAGTAATAAAAAATTAATGGGACTATAAAATTTTAATATCAAAATGTGTATTGTTTTAATAGAAACAAATCCAAGAAAAATATTATTTATAGTTATTTAAGGGGAAAATAATTTAAATACCCAAAACTTCTAATCAAAAGGTGATAGATAAACATCTCAAACATGCATATGTAATAAAAATAACCCAAAGTGTATATAAAATTTATCTTAGCACCATCACAATATTCTTTTTTCTTTCATAAATGTATGCTTATAGTGTTAAAATACTTTGGGCAATTATAAGGATGAAATTATTAATCTAAGCTTTAATATATGAAATGCATAACAATAACAAACAAGCTTATAATGTTAATTGCACACTAAAAATGCTTAGAATATTTAAATTATTTACTCAACACTGTAATTCTACATTTGTGAAAGAAAAAATATGATCATTATGCTAATTTTTGTTTTTAAATTTGGAATATTCATATTAGATATGCAAGTTAAGGGTGTTTATCTCACACCCCTCAAAAGTTCATAGTACTTTAATTAGTTTACTGTTTATCCATTATATACTTAATATTTTATTAAATGGGATGATTTTTGAAGGGGAAAAAATACTTAGCTTTTTTGAAGGGGAAAAAATAGGATGATTTTATTAAAACCAAAGCAACATTTTGGTCTTTTAGAACAATAAGGTAAAAAAAATTAAAAAGAAGCATCAAGGGTGCTCAAGAAGAATTGAAGGGGAAAAAATAGGATGATTTAGGGATTTTATTAAAACCAAAGCAACATTTTGGTCTTTTAAAACAATAAGCTCAAAAAAATTAAAACGAAGCATCAAGGGGGCTCAAGAAGAATCGAACCCTGGCACCTCTGAAAGATGGAAAGACCTTTATCCACGCATTACTCAACTCTACCACTTAACGTCTTTTAGCACCTTTGTAGCTTTTGTTGTACATATAATCAGATTGTTTATTTTTATGTAAAATATAGATAATATATAGGTAATATTTTGGAAGTACACGGGGTCTCGGGACCCCGTGGGACCCTTAGTGGGTCCGCCACTGTTTGTCACGTATACTACACAAGTTGCCCCCATCGCTGCTACACCCACACCGTTCTTGTCCTCAGGTACGCGGTATCCTTTACACAATACGTGAATTATAATATTTTTTCTAATGCCCATCGTAAGTTTCTTGTAGCAGTTACCGCTAACGTTGAACCTCTTCTTTCAAAGAAGCCATGCGAGACTCGCACTGGCGACAAGCCATGCATGATGAGGTTCGTGCCCTAGAGGATAATCAAACCTGGACTATTGAGGATTTGCCTCCCGGCAAAACAGCCATTGGATGTATGTGGGTTTTTCGCATTAAATATAAGTCTGATGGGGCCATTGAACGATATAAGGCTAGACTGGTTGTTTTTTGCAATCATCAAGTACCAGGAATTGATTTCGTTGAGACCTTCGCTCCAACTGTCAAGATGGTGACAGTGCGTACCTTTCTTACGGTTGCTATTGTTAAAAATTGGGAGCTACATCAAATGGATGTGCATAATGCCTTCCTTCATGGTGATCTTGCTGAAGAAGTATATATGAAGCTTCATCCTGGATTTGGTGATCATTCTTCGGGTAAAGTCTGTCGACTACGAAAATCCTTATATGGACTCGTCAGGCTCCTCGGTGCTGGTATGCTAAACTTGCTTCAGCCTTACGGTCCTATGGTTTTCAAAATAGTCCTTCTGATCATTCTTTGTTTGTTTATCAAAAAGGCTCTGTTACTTTAAGCATTCTTGTTTACGTTGATGATCTCGTCATTGCTAGAAATGATAGTGACTCTATCACTCAATTCAAGAATTATATGCATACATGTTTTCGTATGAAGGACCTAAGGAAGCTTAAATACTTCCTTGGTCTTGAGGTTGCTCGTAACTCCAGGTGGTATTTTTCTATGTCAACATAAATATGCTCTGGCTATTCTGACTGAGACTGGTCTCCTTGCTGCCAAACCTGCCAGCACACCGATGGAGGAAAGCCACTTTTTAGCTCTTGCTTCTGATGATCTCTTGAATGATCCTGTCAAGTATCGACGCCTGGTTGGTCGATTGATTTATCTAACCATTACGCGGCCTAAGCTGTGTTATTCTGTTCACGTTCTATCTCAGTTCATGCAGAAACCTACTCGGTCTCAGTGGGAAGCGACGCTCCGCGTTGTCCGCTATTTAAAGACTGGCCTTGGTCAGGGTATTCAGTTGAAAGCGGATTCTGATCTTTCTTTACAAGCTTATTGTTATGATGCCGATTAAGTTAGTTGTCCTTTGAGTAGACGTTCTCTTACTACTTATGTTGTGTTTCTTGGTGGTTCTCCCATCTCATGAAAAACTAAGAAACAAGCTATAGTTTCTCGCTCTTCGGTTGAGGCCGAATATCGGCCATGGCATCTGCTACTTGTGAGATTATCTGGTTAAAAGGTTTATTAAATAGCTTGAGGGTTTTACATATATCTCCTGTTTCCCTACATTCTGATAGTCAAGCAGCGCTACATATTGCTAATAAACCAACCGTGTATATATCTCAGAATTGACACATGAATATACAAGCGATTATTTACCCATTCACATATTCCTTTATTCATGTCAAGCATTTTATGCTGCCACATCTCATATAATTGAACCTACATCCTACACCCAAGCTGTTTCCAACCCACACTGGAGAAAAGCCATGCGGGATGAAATTTCTGCTATTGAGTCCATTGGCACTTGGCTTATTACTGACTTACTTCCAGGAAAGACTCATATTAAGTGATAATGGGTGTATAAAGTGAAATATCATGCAGATGGCAGTATAGAAAGATACAAAGCACGCCTAGCTGCCAAAGGATTCACTCAAATTGAGGGTTTAGACTTTCTTGATACTTTTTCTCATGTGGCTATGTTTACCATAGTAAGGGTACTACTTGCATTGGTTGCTTCCAAAGGCTGTTTTTTAGAGCAACTAGATGTTAATAATGCTTTTCTCGTGATTTACATGAAGAAGTATATATGAACATTCCACCAGGTTTTCTAGCAGGCAATGGTTTTCTAGCTTTCTACAGCTTTAAAGGATTATGGTTTTGTTGATTAAAGGATTATGGTTTTCTAGCAGGCAATGGTTTTCTAGCTTTCTACAGCTTTAAAGGATTATGTGGATTACTCCTTGTTTACATTACATGAAGAGAATTTCACCCTGATTCTCTTAGTGTATGTTGATGATATTCTAGTTGCCTCTTCCAACATGGAGCAGATTAAACATGTGAAACAGTTCTTGGATGACCAGTTCAAATTAAAATACTTGGAGCCTATCAAATTTTTCTTGGGCTTGGAAGTAGCTCGTTCTTCAAAGGGTTTGTTTCTGTGTCAACGCAAATATACTCCGTACAATGGATCTTCTCCAGCATGTTTTTGAAAGTTTACATGTTTTAAGCTTATTCTTATTGATGTAATTAAACCTATACAGTCTGTGGGATTATATAAATGTTGTGATAAACTTTCTCTGTGGACCCAAAGCATCGGATGCTTGTGCTGCTGAGACATCTGAATGGCTCAAGCACTTTGATGTTGTCACACTTGCAGGTCAACTTTTCTTGTTTCATAATTGAATACCGCTAGGATTGCTAGTCTTATAGTGTTGTCTACTAGTCTTAGAGCTTAAATGCTGATCTCATAATGAAAGAAAGACATGCTAGAACTAGTCTTACAACGCAAAACCAGGGTTTTACGTTCAAAACGCGACTTTTTAATAATAATAATAATAATAATAATAATAATAATAATAATAATAATAATAATAATAATAATAATAATAATAATAATAATAATAATAATAATAATAATAATAATAATAATAATAATAATAATAATAATAATAATAATAATAATAATAATAATAAACAGGACACTTTTTAAATGCGTTTTAAATTGGAAAAAGCTAAATTTCACCAGCTGTAACTGCATTTGGCGTTTTTCACCATCGGACAATCTAACTGATTCTAACTACATTCGTTCGAGTTTCTCTATCCTTATAACGGTAACAGACTGGCCAGTTCTACTAAAAAACGAAAGTGCCTGTATATAAGCGAAATGAGAGTTCCCAAGCGTTCATTTTCCTTTTGCCTTTCGTTCTCCTCTCTATCCTTTCTCGAAACTTCCGTTTCTACTCCGGCTGCAATTTCGCCGACAAAGGCAAGCCGCTTCGTTCTCCAGGTGTGTTACTTTTAATACATGGAGAGTATGATTCTCCTCTTTGTAGTTTTTCTTAATGTGCTGTTGCCGGTGGATTGAACTCGTGTTTTCGTATGACCTGATTCTTCTTTTTCTTACTTGAGTTGGATATACAAGGCATTTTGCTTAAATTCTCTGTAATGTTATTTCTGTTGTTTTGATAGGTTGTTTACCGCTGAGCAATTTCATGGTTGAAATGAAATTATTAATGTGTTATCTAATGAACTTCTATGCTTGAATCTGAATTCGAAACTGATTGATTTGACTTCCACCTTAGTGTTTCTCACCGATTTGAAATTATCTCAAACCTTCGCTCTGCCTGTTCAGTAACTATTTGATATTTTCTAAACAAGGTTTCAATATTGAAATATCTTTTGAAGAACTAATAATGATCTGCATCTCTCTCTCGCTTCTCTCTCTGGATACACATATATAGTTTGAAGCCATTCTTCTTCCTCTTCTTGCTTGAGCTGGCTGTGTATGGCAAACTGAATGCTCCTTCTCTGTAATGTTATTTCTATTACTTTGCTTTTATCTAACTACTTTTGTGTTATCGTTCTAAAATTCTGGCTTAACTTGTGGTTCATAAAGTGAATAGTTGTTTTTGAATTACTGCTGCGCATTTCCAAAGTCCTGCGAGTGCAATGAAATTATTAGGTGAAAATAACTCTGACAAAATATAGGTGTTCCCTTGGAGCATATCATTGAGTATGCTGTCAAGTCCAAACATAACCTGGCCGTTGTTTCTTTTTCCTTGGCAAAGAGTCGCTTGATGTAAACTTTACCATATTTCTTGTTATCACCTGGTTTTTTTAATAGCCTTGTGCAGTAGTTATGTTTTTAGTCTTATACATGCTTGAAGTCTGGTACATTATCTACTGCCAACAGATATAGGGTGTTAAGGTTGTTATGGCTGTAAAGGTCTGATATCTATATCAAACTTTTGTTGAGTAATGTGGATGCAAAAGGCATGCAATATATAGCAACTCTGAACTTACGCATAAATGTAATGATAATAATCATTTGCACATTATGGTAAATGTGTATTGGGTGCTTGTCATTGCTTGTGAAGTGTTATGCTTTTAGTAATTAGTGAATGTCATTGCAATTACCTTGTTTGGTAGGTCTGGAGGGGGGGATGGGTTCTGGCGTTCTGCAGCACATTCGTATATCTGGCAATGCGATCCAAATAAATAATTCAAGTTATGACACTTGCCCATACATTCAGGTTGTGCAATGGCTGGTGTGGGCTTGAAGGACCAGGAAAAACCACTTGGAAGAGAAAATGCTGCTGATGATGGTCAGAGTTCTTGCATATGGGCTCCTAAAGGAGGCTGCAAATTTGGTAAGGAAAAACAGATATTTTGCAATATAATGAAACTGGTCGAGGATTTGGGGTATCCTCAAGAGGTTAGCGTATGCTATGTCAGTAAGAGTAGTATTACCATGAACCTTGTGATTTATGTGAATCATGCCTTTCTTTAGGTGCTACTTTGGCAGCTTTCCTCTCCACTATTTTATTTACGTACATTTAGTGTGTTGTAGTCTATCATTGCATGATTATGTAATTCCAATGGTGTGTTAATATATTGATAAAAGGTATTGGATTTTAGGTCGTTTTAAAAGGTAATTGGTGGATGCAGTATTGGATTTTAGGTCATTTTATTATAACCCTACCAGATTTTGGAATTGATATTCTTACAATGGGTCATCCTGCTGTTCGCCCAGAGCTCGATTCAGTAGAGCAGGAGGATCAGTTGACCCATGAAATATCTCTTCCGGATACTATAGAAGATGAAGATGCACTGAATATTTTCAAGCCAGATCCCAATTACTTAGAAAACGAAAAGAAGTATGAAGAATCGAAAAAGGCAATACTAGGTGATGAATCTGAGGAAGAAGGGGATTTTGATGCTGAGTCTGTGGATGAAGATGAAGATGAAGATGAAGAGGATGAAGTCGATGACAATGAAAAGCAAATGAAAATAGCCGATGAGATGGAAACAAACTTAGGCAACCTTCGAAGAATCATCTATCTAACAATAATGTCAAATGTGGATTTTGAAGAAGCAGGCCGTAAACTGTTGAAGATTAAACTTGAGCCTGGTCAAGAGGTTAGTGTCATTTATTTTTCATTTATGTATCTGTTTTGTGTTCATTGTTGGTTGTGTAGAGTATGCTATTCACTTATGGGGTTGACACTCCTAACTCCCACAATTATAAAAACAAACTTCAAGAGGGTGGGGGGTGCTTTGGGAGAATGGAAATGATTTCCTCCATCTCAAAGTTAATGGCTAAGATGCGTTTTATTGCCATGCTTGTCCTCTATTTCCCAAGCTTAATTTTGAATGAGACCGGTGTTTTCTAAAATTGTAAGAAATTGGACAGCGTAAAGGGTGTTACCATGAGACAACTTAAACCAAGTATGTATCACGCATTCATGTAGTGACAATAAAGGAGTTCAACATAGAAACTAGTTAAGACCACAATTTGTAATTTGGTGACTGTATCCAACACAGTTCTGAGTGGTATTTCGCTTTTATTATCATGCTTGTATATTCCAGTATACTATATGCAGTTCTTTTTAAAGCAGATTATAATGTTTGATAGAAGATTCATTGAAAAGTTAAAAGTTAATGTTAACAATCACCTTCCTTTTGGCAGGGTGTGGTGTATTTAGGTGGTTACCAACTTGCCAGTAAAAGTTGAAATTCAGAATTGGTTAAATGAATTACTATTCAATGCAGTTATGCAGAATAGGAATTCTCTGTGTCACCATGATGATCACTAACTTTTCTTTAGGTATGTTTGAATAACAGAATATGCTAGGTGAAGGAGAAAAGAATACTCGGTTAATTCCTTATGTATTTTTACTTATATAAATGCAAAAGAAATTGGAAATTGTGTAATTTTTAAAAGATAGATATTCATATACTTATATTTCTAATGGTCTGTCTATAATAGTACTCCTAAGTGAGAGTGATGCAATTATTAAGAAAACTGGAATTGTGTTGTGGGTAGTGAATTGGTAAATTGCGAACAAAGAAGTAAGAATGAATTGAAACCACTCAAATATTACCAAATATGGTATAAGACAAACTTAGTTGGATGAATGAAAAAATGAGACAAAAATAAGGGGACGTAGGGAGTATATGGAATGAGTTTGAATAAATATCTGGAATAAGTTTATTGAGTTAAGAGCCTACCTCCCCCCCCCCCCCGAATTTGAGTTGCATGTCATTTTCTTCTTGCATATTCTCTGTCATTAGCATTTTCCTGGATCAAAACAGACCTTAGTGACCCTGAATGCTACATAGGGTCCTGACATTTTACTGATGATGTGATATTTAGTATTCAGTTGGGTACACAAGTAACTCTCTCATGGTATGTTTTCGTTGTGTGCAGATGGAATTAAGCATAATGCTTCTAGATTGCTGCAGCCAGGAGAGAACCTACAAGTGTTACTATGGGCTTTTGGGTCAACGTTTTTGTATGATCAACAAGATTCACCAGGAGAACTTTGAAAGGTGCTTTGTGGAACAGTACTCGATGATTAATCGATTGGAAACCAATAAACTGAGAAATGTTGCCATGTTCTTTGCCCACTTGCTTGGAACTGATGCATTGCCTTGGCATGTTCTGGCTTACATTCGACTCACAGAAGAAGATACCACCTCCTCTTCCCACATCTTCATCAAAATTCTCTTTCAGGTAAGCTTCATGAATAGTAAATCTTAAACCCCTTTCATTCTCTTGCTTTAATCTTTTTATGATTTCTTTGGTTCCGTGCACTCTTATCTCATCATGATAAGTGTTTTGCTGTGCCTGATCCCCATCAATAATCCATGCTTGCCTTCTATCACGATTACTCTGTATTAGTTTTTAAATTAAAAGGCAATTTTCAGGAATTCTTAAAAAATTTAATCCTATGCTTGCCTTTTATATGCAAATTTAATTCCTAAAAAGTGAATTGATGTTTTGCTCACAAACTGTTTCTTATATGCAATGTAGCTTCTTAATACCACTTTGATGCATTTTATCCCCTCTATTTAGTACGTAGACAATATAATCCGTCACACTATCATGTCTTAAAGATGGAGTCAACCAGCTTGAGCATCTTTTGAATGGATCATAAATTTGTAACTGGGGGGGGGGGGGGGGGGACTACACTACAGAATGTGGACACATCCTTATGATTGCGGGCAGTATGCCAATAACATCCCTATGATCTATTTTCATCATCATCATCACCGTCACCCCGGTGCGGCAAAGGCTCCCACCTACAATGGGGTAAGGGGGGTCGGATGTACGCAGTCTTACCCTTGTACTTAAGTACAAAGAGACTGTTTCCGGATGACCCATAGTGAAAATCGCGTCGAAAATTACATGGACTAACTACTGCTTCATAACAAAGAAGCGCAGTCAGTGCACTATGCACTGTCTGCACTAAATTGAAACTTGTATTTTGTGCTCACCCAACTGGCCGACTACCTTCAGCCTTCATGATATCACAAATCATTGTGCAGTGCTTAGTGCAGTGCTTAGTGTAGTGCTACTGACTAACCATTTTTTGTCCATGTTTAAAACTAATGTTCTGAAATTAATGGGCTTAAGGGAGGGGGGATTTTATTAAAACGAAAAAGTTGTATTCATTTTTTAGGAAGTCGCAATTGCTATATTAATGTCAATGGACCCATACTCTTACAGTCTTATGAATAGGTCTTGGATGTTGTGGTTGTTGTGGCAATTGCTGTATTAACAGTGATCACTATGCAGGAATTATCTGAACATCTTGGGATCCGGCTTTTGAATGAACGCCTGAATGACCCAACCATGCAAGAGTCGTTTGCCTCTATTTTTCCAAAGGATAACCCGAACCACACAAGGTTTGCAATTAATTTTTTCACATCCATTGGCCTGGGTGGGATCACTGAGAACCTCCGAGAACATCTGAAGAATATGCCACGCCTCATCATGCAACAACAACAGAAGCCCACTTCCCCTGCTTCTTCCGATTCATCAGGCTCGCCATCCAGCAGCAGCAACAGCTCTGAGAAAGAGGACCTCACCAAGAAAAAGCAGGAGGCATTGATCTGCCCAAATGTCTGACTCTGTATATCATCTTTTTAGACTGAGTTCTCTTTTTAAACATTTTTCCTAAAACAAATAGGTGACTTTATACTTTCCCCACTGTTTTATATTTTTATGCAACTCAGAAATACTGCCTGAGTATGAGTGTCTAGGAGACTGGTTTGCTTTTCTTGACCAAAAGTTTGCAGACAATGCGTCAATGCTTGCGTAGGTTAGTTCGAAATGGATGCTTAAACCATGCTTACAGACTAGTGGTTAATATCAAACATTCAAACATTAATCCCCCCTCACTCAACAAGTTCTGTAATTTCAGTAGGGTTGCAAATAAAAGGCCGTGTTTGGTTATAAAAAAAAGTCGTTTTTTGTTATAAATAAAAGGCCGTTTTCATGCCCCTTAAACAGGAACCAAACTCGTAATAAACGTCTATTTTTCAGCAATGTAAAATCGATTATTCTCGATCTGATTCGCTACTCATTGCCTACCTCTTCTATTATTCTCGATCTGATTCGCTACTCATTGCCTACCTCTTCCATAACCTATATACATGGAGTAGATTGATATGATTTTGGATAGTCAAACCAGACCTGAATCATTAACTGCTATGAGCTTCTTGACCGGGCAAAAAGTGTGGTTTGTGTCTGGAATTATTTATGAGCTATATAGCATATTAGCCGTCAATGATGGTGATGAGTTGCATTTTCAATTAAGACGCCTATTTATGTGTCTTTGAAGCAAAGCAAGATTGCTATACATTCACTTTGTCACATCCTTCCTCACATCGATGTCTTTTTACTATCATTTTCTGCTTACTTGGTCCCTGTTCAATCCTTGAAAGCAAGCTGTGATATCCCCATTCTTTTATGAAAATTCATAAACCATGGAGGTTAACTATAGACTTAGGATTAAAGCAAGCTCCTCACATTTTGATCTTTTACTGTTTCTCTAATCAGATGTCAGTGTGTTAGGGTTTTTTTTTTATTAATTACCTTTGTTCATCTCTAAATTAAATTACATATGATAGTGTTCGTTTATTTGAGTGGGCTCATGGAAGGATTCCAGAGATTTAGCCTATTAATTAGTATTTTTGCAGAAAATACTATATTTAATCCTACATACCGTTTGACAAAAACTTCTAACATTGCTCATTAAATTATGTTATATCTGCTTCTTATGTTTGTAAAAAATTTGATACGATCCTTGTATGCATTACATAGGATTGGTTCCCCATATATCTTTGTGAAATATTTTTTTTAGATTAACTTTAAATTGATTGAAAATTCAAATATGTGAGAAAATATTAAGTACATTCTCTTAATTAAAGGGCATCTGGACATTTAATAAAGTGGCACAAAGGCTTAACTTTAGTGAAGAGCCATTGAGGATAGTCTTCAATTAAAGTGATTTTCAAGTTACTTGATCTTTAGCAAAGAGCCACAAATGCTTCATCTTCAATTAAAGGGTATTCTGATAGTTTAATCTCTAAAACATTGGAAGAGGGTTGTCGACAGTAGCAACCCCAAAAACTCTAAGCTGGGGCGCTAGTAGTAAAACTGTATTATTCAATAGTTTAACACAGTATAATATTTATGGAGCATTTACATAAAACATAAACACGTATTTGTATATTAGGTAAGTTGAGAACGTTATATGACCAAATCATCGTGAACTATTGGATTCTACATAAAGTTCTTGGATTGAGTGAGAGTGCTTAAGTTTTTTAGCAAAAGATTTGTATCATTTTTTTGTACAACTTTTGTATCATACAAAAAGTGATTGATCGAAAATGGCATCTTGATAGCCTTCATTTGTAGAATGTTTTCCATACATATTGAGCGCCCCGAGGCTAGTTTGCAAAGGTTCATAAATGATCTTAAATCGTGCAACGAAGGAGATTAGCCATTAATGAAAATCAAAACAACCATTCTTACACAAAATTTGTACACATTTTGTGCACGTTACACGTAATTATATGTGTGTGCACGAGTTGCCTGTACATAGGCAACTAAGAGATCTACACATTGTCAATGTACACAAGACAATTACGTGTAATGTGTGCGAAATGTGTACAAATTTCGTGTACAAATAGAGTTTTTCAAAACTAATTGGTCATCCGCACATGTTAGTGGATTATAGTAGGAACTAGGGACCCTTCTAGCCACTTGAAACTGACATATTTTCTTTTGTCCAACTAGAAACTTCAAGTCCCTCGAAAAACATTCTGAGACCAGTAAGAAAAGGTAGAGAGAGGGGGGTCCCTTGTTTGATCCCCTCTTTGGTGGAAGAAGCCCACAGTTTGACCGTTCACCACTACGGATAAGGTGAGTAGCTTTGAGATTGTGCATGATTAACTAATTCACCTCATCAATGAAACCCATTCAAGTAAGAACAACCTCTAAGAACTTCCAAGAAATGCGGCCAAAACCCTTAACCATATCAAGTTTTACGTCTATATTATTACCCTTATTTTTTATCCCATATGTGTATAATGTCTTTAGTGAGCAAATTGTGTTGATGTATATTTCTCCCTTGAATGAAAGCCAATATGCTCCGGAGGAAGAATCATTTTTAACCTGTTGACCAAAATCATGGAACAAACTTTGTTGATGAAGTTGGAAACACAAATAGGGTGGAATTGATCAAAATCATTAGGTTTCCTCGCTTTAGGAATGAGAATCATCATGTCACTTCCCATAGCAGTAGGAATTCGCACCTCTAGGAAGAATTCTTAAATGGCTGAGATAACGTCCTTTGATATAATATTCCAGCAATGTTTGAAAAAGAAGCCTGTAAATCCATCCAGGCCCAAAGAGTTGAGACTCCAAATGGCCTCTAAATTACTTACTATTAATCTCTTCTTCCGACGGTAAAGCACAAAGATTTTCATTATTTGCATTGCTAACACAGTTAGGAATAAATTGGAGCATATAATTGCATGTATCCGTATTAATATGCTCGTCATGATAGAAATTAGAATAGAACCCCACTACTGCTTTGCTAATTTCCACCTTATCTTCACAAAATCTGCCATGCATGTCTTTTATAGAGAGGATCTTTTTTGCCTTCTTTCAGCCACATAATTGTGACAGAATTGTGTGTTAGTGTCTCCCTCATGAAGCCATATTATATTTGGTTTTTGTCTCCAGAGTCTCTTTGAGTTTAGCTTCTGAAAATGGGCAGCTTTACATTTTGACTAAATCTCCTTCAAATCTCCCTATTTTCCTGAGTCATCTAACATCTTCTTCAAATATTTTTTCTACCCACAATGCCTCACTTCAGCCTGTTTAACTGCTTCAAAAACGTTGCTGGAGAAAGTTTTGTTCCATTCTTTTAGAGGACTTCATGTTTTGAAGTTTTCTAAAAATGCATCCCTCCCCAATATTCTTTGGCATTCCATCTTTTCCTGATAATTTCCATAAAAGATTTATGTGAAACCCACATTTCTTGGGACCTAGATTGTGAAATTTGTTGAAACCCACATTATTAGGAATTTCATCATTGTGAAATCCGATCAGTACGGATGTGAAGTTGCGTTTTTAAATCTACACTACATTTTTTCCCAAAAATGGCACTCATATCATTTTCAACTTTTATATAGCTCTTTAATCAAGTCAAAGTGTCAAACGCACACAGAAATATGTCAAACGCACGGTAATCACAACTAACACACAAAAATCAACCATAGAAATATACGGAGTCTATTTTTTTGCTACACACCCAAGAAAGCAAGTTTGTAAAGTAAGGTAAGCGTGGCAGGTACAACCCTAACACCGTCAAATATTGTTAGAGGAAGACAATCAATTTATAAAGCCAACTATATCATACATTAATAGGAGTGTAGATTATTGTTGAGAAAATGCATGCTATCACCAATAACATTAAATAGCAATATTAACCGTAATATGGCACCAAAAGAACTTGGAAAATTAATAAAATAAAAGTTTAAGTTACTCTGAAATATCTTAGTTTTCGGTACATCTCACCATCCTTTAGGCCGGGTGGACTTCCATCAGTAATACAAACATTTCACTCATAAGCTCATTCTAATATGTCATTTTCCAACTAACTAAGAAGAGATGCCTGGAGATGAAATGTTCCCACAGAAATTTGTGTCTAAATGCAATCTTGATAGCGTACCATCATCCCTGCATAAATCCTGCAGTATACATATTGATTTATAATAAAACTTAGTTTCGAAACATTATAAAGCAATTGATTATATAATACACAGTTTTGAGTTATCTCTAAATATGTCAAAAACATACATGGAGAGGCTAAAATTTTATGTGTTTTGTTAATTTTTTATTTTTGATATGAGGGATGACTTAACGACTATGTACATATTCAAATATTTACCTTGGTAGATGCCAATTGGGTAATAAGTCCATGGTGATCATGAATTGATGTTTCCACAACTACAGGGTTCTCTAGATTGGTGATGCTGTTCTTCATTAATGGCATAGTATACTGACCAGTGGAATTCTGAATAGAAGCATGATTATTGGTCTGTTCCAACATTTCTTGGTGTCCAGAAAAAACACCTGCGTTTCCTTTATCATATTCAAGCCCAGCTTGAGGGAATTGGCCAGATTGTAAGGATTCCTCGAAATAGCCCGGATACAAACTCAGTCCATTTCGCATGGTCAACACCTGAAATTACCCCCAGACCACCCGCTATATATAAAATGGACTTCCCGATCTTATTCCTCAAGTTTTAAAAAAAAAAGTTTCCTGTAAATATTACTGAAATAAAATTCATGAACAAAAATATGACTAAAATTACTATAAATATAAAAAATTGTGTAAGATTAGTCATTAACTTACTATTGCAAACACTAAAGTTTAATAGTCACATTTAATCCACTACATTTATTTTAGTCATATATATTTATCATATTTCTATTAAAAATGAGACTCGGGCACTAAATCAAATTAGAGAATAATATTCAGTATAAGAGATGTGTAAACATATTAATGTAATGGGATTAGAACGGAACTCCATCTAAGAAATTTTCAAAATATGATCAAATTGGTGGTAGTCATTAAGCCATAGTATGGTTTAGTGTCTTCAGATAGAGATGACAAAGTCAGCAGAGTGGCACATAAATTTATACTATTCTAAATATTAGCAAATAAAATAAAACGAAATGACTTGGATTTACAAAAACAAAATGAAATGCATCAAAATGCACCCCATCAAGAGGCATAACTGCAGTTGAGAAGTATGGTGAAAAGTCAAAACCTATCCACCCTTCAGTATGCTGGTGCAAGACACCA